GATTTACGAAATGATATCTAATGAAATACAAAATTCAAGAAATAAGATAATATATTTTCTTAAAAATTATGATATGAAACAAACTATACGTATTTATCACAATAGATCATCCTTTTTATTTTTTTGTATACGTCTTTCACCTTTTTTTTTGTTTTAGTATTTTCTTGAGATTTTATGTAAATTCTTTATTTTCACAGTTATCATGATTTCTATTTTGGGCCTCCAACTTTAATGCATAGATATTTTTTTTTCTTAATTTATTTAAAACTTTTTATAACGTAATTATAATTGTATTATAATCATGATATGTGATTTATATATATATATATATATATATATATATATATATATATATATATATTAGAAACGTTTAGTATATATGTTGTTAACAAAGAATTTAACTATGTAAATTTACGGTAAATACTATATTTCAAAAAATATTTTGTACATTTAAAAATTGAATATCCTAAGAATTCACATTATTAAATTTTATATATGTGGATCTATAGAACCTATTATCACAAAAATTCAGAATAAATGATTGATTTCGAAAACATAAGATCTTTAAAGCTGAAAATTCTAGATTGAAACAAATGATTACTTTTAAAATTATTTCTTTATACGAATGTCTACATATTTTTATTTTTATTTATTTATCGGTAATAAAAGATAATATACATATATATATAAAAAAAAATCCTACGGGTTGTATTTAATTACTTTGTAATAACATTTTTAATCCCAAAATTAATCTTTCGTGCTAATGAATCTGAATTTAAATGTTTTCTTCTTATTGTGAAAAATAATATTCACAATATATCTCATTTAATGAAGCACTAAAATTTTTCATGAAGTTGACATTTTTATTAGCATTATATTAAATTGTTAACATATTGTTGATGAAACATCTAAAGTCCTCCCAAAAACTTATGTTTTCCATCTTTTCTAATGCATTTTCCTCTTTGATTGCCAACAATTTTACTTTCATGTGTTAGCTGTTTCACAATTTTGACATAGATAATATACTTTTTAAATGTGCATTGTGTTGTAAGTTTTTTATTTTAGCTTCTATTTCAAAATTTCTGCTATTTTTTATAATTATCATATTTTATTCTATTAACAGAATAATATTTTAAAGATAAACAAGAGATTTGTGTCATTGTGTGACATAGACGTGGATTCACCTGTTAGATTCTTCATAATTTATTTTTTAAGAATATGAGTTATAGATACAAATGTGAAAATTCGACAAAAAAAAAAGAACTTAAAAATATAGCTTTAGAAGTTATATATAAATACGAGACATTTGTGGAAAACTAAGGTAGATGCATCAAACATGGTATTTAGATCAATGTTATAATATTATTTGTTATTTAAATAAATATTTTATCTATTTTGTCGTTTATTATTATTTTACGTATTTTTGTATATAATTTTTAAATTCAAATTTCTAAGGGGTCTGGTCTAATTTTAATTAATTAATAAACTAATTTAAATTGAAAATTTTCATTTAAATAAGGATAAAAGAATAAAAATCACATACTTTCAAGGTAAAATTACTATTTGTTCCTTGTAAATTTATAATTATAAAAATCCTTCAAACTGATATAATAATATAAGCGCTAATACATTAATTTGATGTGTGATATACATTAATCGTTAAGTAAGATACATAACATTTTATACATGATACACTAATTTGATGTACATACACGATATACTAATCTGATGCGTGAGTTACATTAATATGATGCACAATATACATTAATTTGATGCACTGATACATTGACCTGATGCGTAAAAATGAGGAATTTGTAAAACTAATAGTGAATAATGGTAATAAGAGAACTTAAAGATGAGATTTCTGTCATTTTTCCTTTAAATAATACTCTAGTTTTGATTTTATTTTTATTTGGGATAATTAGTAAACTAGTTAAAATTTCTAACATAATGATTAAAAATATTCATATTTTAAAATATTTAGTAAAAATATCAATATTTTGAGAAAATATGATTATTTTTCTTTTATTTTATTTTTCAAATCAGTCCCATTTTTATTACTCCACTAGCTGTTGAAAATGAAAAAGAAAAAAATCTCATTACCCAATTTCACTTATTTCTAGGTTTTTACTCCAAATTCCTCTTCTTTCTCTCTCTTTGATAAGTGAGTTCTTTTTTTTAATTATTTTCAGAAATTGGTAAAAATCTTTCAGAAGATATTCAAGTGATTTGATTCTGTGTAAACTTTTCAATACATTTGATTATATATTGCTTTGTAAATTCTCTATTTTTTATCAGAACTTTTTATAAAAAAAATTCAAAATTCCTCTTTAATGACAGATTCAAAGAGAACTACAAGATGATTCATATAATGATCGATAATATAGAATTGGCGGCTAGAATGACGGGAGAAAGCAAAGCTAAGCAACTACATGACCCTATTCAATTGCAAAGTCTTCTTCAATTACGGAATATAATCAAATGGTGGATGAACAACTTTACGAAGATAAAATTATTTTATATGTGTGCATATGTATTCTCTCGTTCTCTTTCAAATTTAAATAATCTGGGAATTTAATTTGTATTCCTTTTTGTAAAAAAATTAATTATATTTGGATACAACTCATAACTAAACTATAGTTTATCTATCATTTTTTCATTGATTTTTAATCTTATCTTTATTTTGTTTTCATACTATTAATTGGATACAACTTTTGTAGTTCATAATATTGTTTTATTGGGAGTTTGTGAATATAACATATTTATGTATTTCTTATATTTGTATTCGTATTAGTTTGTGGTATGTACATCATCGAAAGTATACAAAACTAGTAGTTCATAATAGTATCTTTGCAGGTGATTGTGTGGAATATATACAACATAATTTTTTTTTGAATACAACTTTGTAATACATAATATTATTTTGTGGAAATTATGCATAATACTACATGTTTTTTCTTATATTGCTTCTTATTTTGTATTTGTTCTAACTGTATGCCTACTAATTTTATAATTTTATCATTGAAGTGTATTCAACCTCGACAGTGAATACAAAGTTAGTAGTTCACAATAATATCTTTGTAGCTAATTATCTGGAATGATACATAATTTTTATTTGTGTTTCTTTTTTATTTGCATTCATCTAAACTGTATACCATCAAATGTTTTGCATGTATGTTCTTCAAATGTATCTCAATATCTCTCTATTTAAATCTCGATTAATTTTTTTTAAAAAATATTCTCTTTTATGATTTTCTCCTTTTTGTTATTAACTAATTGTTTTCTTTAAAATTTAACAAATGAAAAAAAATTTACATAATTAACCTTAGAACAAAAAAAAATATTGAAGTTTTAAATAAATATTGAAAATTTGGCTAAAGAGCCCGATTAAATGCTAAAATATTAACATTTTCAAAAAATTTCATTTTTATTTGGGAAAATTTTCAAAATGTCAATATTTTAACATTTAAGAAGGCTCATTAGCAACACTTTCAATATTCAGTAAAAATGACAAATTTTAGTTTGTTATGTATCTTAATTATGTTTTTATTTAAAGAGTATAATTATTTAATAACAAAAGGGAGAAAGTCAAGGGAGAGAATATTTCAAAAAAAGGTAAGGATCACTTAATTTTCTCATCAGTTACATTTTCAAATAAAATTTAAATTTTGTTCTTTTTTTTTCTCTCCAGAATTTTTATCTTTTTAAAATTATATTCATTCCACAATATATTTTATTTATATTTATTATAGTTTTTTATTAGTTTGTATTCATTCCAATAGGTATGCTGAATATATCTATATAGTCATTTAAGAAATATATTTGTATTCATATATTTTTTTCCTATATAGTTATTTTTTTGGCCAAATACATACGCAGGTCCCTAAAGTTGTTCGCGTTTTTCCCCCAGGTACCTCAACTAACCAAGATTCCTATTAAATCCTTTAACCCCCTATAATTTGATCCTTTTAAATATTCTTGGCTGATGTGGAGCCAAACGTGATCTCACGTCTTGTAAGCGCGTGCAGACACTTTAAAAGTGCTGATGTGGATCTTCAACCACCCACCAACGATCTTCTTCCCCCTTTTAACCCTAATTTCTCCCATTCTTCCCTTATTTCTCCTCTTTTGTTTCTCTTCATCCCTTATTTCTCCTCTTTTGTTTCTCTTCATCATTATTTCTCCTCTTATATCTCTTTTTCATTGATTTCTTCTTAATCATTAAGTTCCAATATCAAATTTATCTTCTTCATCGATTTCTTCTTCTTCAACTGCGAAGGTACTATGTCAATGTGGGAACGTTGTGGAAATGAAGACCTCATGGACACAATCCAATCCTGGACGTAGGTTCCTTTGTTGCAAAACTTCAAAGGTAAATCAAATTCATTTTTTTGTCCAATATAGTAAAGAATCACCTTATTTATAATTCAATTTTTTTCTTTAATTTTGTAGGCACGAGGTGGATGTGGATATTTTCGATGGTATGATGATGAAATGTCTGCTCAAGCTAGGAGGATGATATAGGGTTTGTCGAAAAGAGTCAAAACATATGAATTGAAGAGGAATCGATCAAGAAAAGTATGGATAATATGCATCATCGTAGGGGTGATATTGGCTACTTGGATTTGTGTAACAAAATAATCTTAGTTGATTCATTTGTCTTCTATTAGATTCCTTCATAAAAGTATGTACGGTAGATTCTAGTGTTCTTTATGGGCAATTTAGATCGATTTTTCTATTGTAAATGCCTTGTGTTTTTATTGTAATGATTTAATTGAAGGAATGAAGATAATTTGTGTCTCAATAGCAATAAAAATTGATCATTCATGCCATTAATTTGCTCTAGTGAGCTCCAAGTTTCAAAGCAGTCAATACAAATTTCTGCTGCTAATTACACAACCAAAAAGTGACTTTTCTACATAAATTAGGCATTCTTTGGTGCACTAGATGTTCCACGGTTGTTTTTCCTTGACTGAGTGATACGTTGCAACTGTGAACCAGTGACAACATCTCCACCATTCCACTTGAGTCCTCGAGGCTTATAACCAATATCAATATTTGTTGGAGATGCATCTTTATAAACTCTCGAATTGATAACTTTTTCTCCTGAAGTACCAGGCTGCATGGAAATATCTTAAAATGAGACTTTAATATATACACTTACATTAAAGGTTTGACTACCACTTGCATTTGTATAGATGCCAAATCCTATGGTCTTGGTCCTTTTTTGTCTTCCTGTTGATATTGAAGCTTCCACGGCCCTGGGTTGATCAGGTTGCTGACTTGATACACCTCCAATGTTGAAAACACTGCCTCTTCCAATTTCACTGGCAGTGCCAGTGCCTGTACCAGTGCCTCTACCATTTCCTCTGTCAGTACCTCTCCCAGTGCCTCTGCATGTGCCTCTGCTTTTAGCAGGTTTTTGCTCTCTTCTAACAGCTGAAGAATCAAAACACATAGAACTGCCTTGATGATTGAATACTGGTGGCTGACTTGAGCTTGATGGTCTACTAAAAAGTGGTGGCTGACTTGAGCTTGATGGTTGGCTAAAAAGAGGTAGCTGGCTTGAGCTTGATGGTTGGCTAAACAATGGTGGCTGGCTTGAGCTTGATGGTTGGCTAGACAATGGTGGCTGGCTTGAGCTTGGTTTCCTGTTTGGGTAACCTCCAGGTTGTCCCATTTCAGCCTATTAATACAGTAATAATAATTGATTATTGTAAATAATTGAAGCTTATTGTAAATGTATTAGAAGAGAACAATAACTTACCAATGTTGGACAAGATTTTTTGTTGTGACCTACTTGATGACACAATGAACATGTCATTTTTACTCCTCTTTTGGATAATTTTCCATACTTTTTTCTAGGCTCATTCTTTGCTTTTCTTCTGCACTTTGGTGGCCTACCAGGCATGACTTTTGGTTCAGGAGGTTCAATCACTACACCACTAGTGTGGGGCCACATTTTCATGTTTGGTATTGGCTGTAGAAAATGATTATAAGCCTTCAAAAAAGTCTCTTTCCTATACCAATGTACCACTTCATGTTCAGGTTCTATGCCTTTGTGCTGATATGCAAGCACAACATGTTGACATAGTATGCCCTTCAATTGCCATGTTCTGCATGTACATGTCTTCTTTCTTATATCAACAATATGTCTGTATTGACCATCTAAGATTTCATATCCAATATCACCATTGAATCTAACTTCACAAAATCTAGCAAGATCTTTGTTCTCTTCTAGTACTAGTCCATAGGAGAGATATCTGAGATCCAAGTTTCAGCAAATTGCCTCATTGCAATATTTCTGTCCATTATCTTGTGCCTAATCTCCTCTAGCATAGTTATGATAGCCTTATGTCTAGCAACTAGTATCCAAGAATTAAAAGTTTCACACATATTGTTTTCAACAATGTCACACTTAGAATGCTCTTTAAAATATGCTTTGCACCAAGTAGTTTTTTCATAATGCAACAAGTCCTCACAAATTTTATTACCTAATTTGTTGAGTTTATCCATCTCATCTTCAAATTTCACTTCAAAACTTGACTTAGCACATCTCCAGAACTGTTTCCTTTTTTCTTCACCACTCCATAATTGATGCCAGTTGGACCAGATATGTCTAGCACTCCTTCTCTGCTCACTATCTGGTAGCAACTCACATAAAGCTGGTACAAGGCCCTATGTAAGCAGTTGTAGCACAAACATTAAAAAGTATTAGCAACACAAGAAAAAAAAATAATAGAACAATAGTCAGTCCATGTTCTATGCCTAAGTTCAAATCTTCTATCAAGTACTTGAGAAAAAAACTCCAACTATGTTTTGTCTCTGTGTCAACAACAGCCCATGCGATTGGAAACATCTGGTGATTTCCATTTCTACCAACAGCAACC